GTTAGAATAAGGGGTTAGAATAAGGGGTTAGATTAAGGTGATAGATTCAGGAGATATATATAGATTAAGGGATTAGAATAAGGAGTTAGATTAAGGGGCTATATATAGATTAAGGAGTTAGAATAAGGGGTTAGATTAAGGGGATAGATATAGATTAAAGTGTTAGAATAAGGCGGCAGATATAGGTCAGTGAATCGTTTTGTAAGTAGCTGTGGAAAACCTATACAAGATTTTCGAAGTCTCGGAAACCTCAACTGGGTTTCTGGGCCCTGAGGTTTTTTGATTGCGTTGAAGCGTTTCCGAGAGCTCGGAAACCCTTTCCCGGAAACCTATAAAGGGTTTCATATAGTGACAAACCCGGAAACCCTCTATAGGTTTCCAAAAGTACCTTTTTTTTTTAGAGTGTAGATAATATTGATTTAATACATCTGTTGAAAATTGTAGTCCATCGTTTGTATCATCAGGAATATCAAACATATCATTAACGGTTTTCGTAGTATGGATGGTTTTCTTGACTGTTGATTTTGGATCGATGGTTGTATTAGCCATGGATAAATGAAAACAAAAGTAGAAATTTTGATAAATCTGAAATAAATGAAAATGTGAAGCAAAAAAATGGTGCTATTTTTTATTCAAATGGATTCTAATGTGAGCGCTTATTGTTTCTTATTTCTCTTTACTTCACATATGACTAGGAAGAAAAAAATTCAAACAAAACTACACTTTATATGAACAAACACAAGTGAAATGTTTATTGGTGTGTGAAATCAAGAAAATATTTAAGTGGCAAGGGTCGTGTTGTACGTTGAATGTAATCTGTGATGAGCTTTTTTAATTCAGTAACAAAAATATCATCCAAAGAGTTTTCTTTGACTTCGGGTTTGACTAAAGATTGAACTGTTTTGTTGGTTGATGCTTGCAAATTTTCGTGGTGGTGTTGTTGTGATGCTGCTTGTGGTTGCTGTTTTGCTTCTCGAGGATTCTAGTGGAATAGAAAATATTCTATATTTTTCAAAATAAATTTCATTTTAATACTGTTTTGGGCATCTGTGTCGATGTTTTGTGTAAAATTCGAGACCATCTTGGATTATTGAATATAACTAGACAGTATGGTTGACATTTACTAGTAGTCATATGTGTTGTTGGTGTAAAAGATTGTTCTGGTCCAGTCGTACTAGACACTTCCATAGGTTCAGTTTTACATTGGTCAGTATTATTATATTGACAATCATTATCATCCACTTGAAGTGAATGTTCACCAAATAATCGCATCAGCATTTGATTCAAATATTGCATATCGCATTCCATAATTGAATATGAATGGTCAATGAATGAATGAATGAAAGAAATCTAGAAAAATTCAAATGAAAGAATGATCAATAATAACAAATGGAGTCACATTGACTTCGATAATTTGTTTTGAGTGCCAAAGAACAGTTTTTCACATGTATCTATAGTTCAACAAAAGCAAAAAAAAATAGGAAAGATACAAAAACCAGAATTAGAAAAGAGTAGTAGTTTTATTGTCGATGCTGTTGTATATGTGAGAAATCAAAAACCAAATTGATTGGATATAATCTTCCAGTCCGTTGAAGATACGCACGAATACATTCTTCTAATTCGAATCGGAATGTATTGTAAAGAATTATTTCATGTTCTTCTGTAGTAGCTCTACTAAAATGGCTAGGTACATTTGTTATTGGTATACCATCTCGAAGCCATTGTTGCCATTGCTAGAATATATCAAAGATAAACTTTCTCTAGAGAGTTTTTGTGGTATTACTTGATTCGGTGACTCTTGATAGGTTGGTGTCTGTCGCAAAAGATTTGGATAATTAGTTATAGTAATAATAAAATATTGATTTCCAAACGGTGCTGGTGCTGCTTGTGGAAAAGGAGTAGCAGGTCTATGGAATCGATTCATTACAATAGTGAATAATCTAGAAAACAAAAATTCATAGTCAATGAGTGAATTAGAGTTTTTTCTGAAAGAAAATTCAAAGAGATGGAACTCTCATGTATTGAGAATATACATAGATTTATACACAGTAGACGAAGAAAACAAACATAGTTTTAATACAGAAAACAAAAATAGCACCAATGCCCATAGGATCATATGGTGTTCATGTCATAGATGATCGGTGTCAATGTCTGTCATATCAAAAACATAATGAATTGGATAGGATCGCCGACTTCGTCGAAAATAATCATTGGCTGCTTCTCTCAATTCCACACGCAATAGATTATTAAGAATTTCTTCACGATTATTGTTAGTATTCGTAGCTGTTCCATTATTCGCAGAGTTAGTCTGTACTGGATCCGTGCTTGTTTGCCGGTTTTGTTGTAACTAAAAGCAGAGAAAGATAAATACACTTTTTGTTGCACTAGGAGACAAAAATTATTTTAAATTAATACCCGAGGTTGATATTGTCGAGTTTGTCGTAATAATTCAGAATTATTGGTAAGAATGATAATAAATTGTCGTGATGGAACACTTGCTGAACGTTGAGGTTGTACATAGGCGTTTATTTGTGGTCTTCTTGATGAACGTGTACTTGATGAGCGTTGATGATGTGAAGTAGACATCCCTGACTCAATAGCGTGGTCTACAAAAAGATACACGTATACAACTGTTCAGAAAATAACGTTATTTGTGTTTTATTTCAATCATTCAAAAGAAATTTTCAGAAATCTGTAACAAATGTCAATATAAGCTCTGCAAACATATGCAGAGCATTTTGTGATATCAGTAGATTATGGATAGGGACGATTCATCCGAATATCAGAACTTGTATATGAAGCCGTATCCGTTGGATTTAAAAAGATAAAAGTAGGATCTGTAATCGGACGTCTTTCTTGTAATTTTGACATTCGCTTCGATGTCCAGGTAGGTTTTTGTGGCTCCATTGATATCGATAGTGGATAGTCGAATAAAATCAGAGGTTTCTGAAAACATAAAATCATAGGTACATGTATCCATGGACAAAAGAAGAATTTTTACCGATTGTCCTTCCAGTTTACAATGAAGTGCATTATTACTCTTGTCAATCGTAGAGTTGAGTGCCATTGAAAGCAAAAACAGTTATATCTACAAGATTAATTTCAGTATTTATATATCTTCTGTTTTATCAAATCTACTTCTATGAATAAAAGCCTGACTGATCAAAACTTTCAAAATTGGAAACCTAAACAAAGAGGTTTCTTGCAAACAAAACAAAAACAAAAAAGAAAGAGAGATAGAACGAAAAGTCTTGTATAGATATATATTAGGTTTGTGGATCATTTAGTTGCGACAACTTTAACTGAGTTGGTACTTGTCGGTTGAGGTCGTCGTACTAATCCTTGACACCATTCATTACCACGAAGCAGCAAAGGAGCATTCAGAGGATAATAATTACTATTTTGATTCACATTTAACACATTGCCAATAGAGTTAAGTTTTGTTTCGCCATACGAAATGAATAAGGATTCAATAGTAAAACGAAACATATCCGTACACGTTTCTAGTACTAGAGAAAAAAGACGAAGAAAATCATAATGTGTCCTAGTAAAATATACGTTCACTTACAAACAGCAACAATGGTGGCATTATATAAATCAATATCTGGTTTTGGTAAGGTTGTATCTCGTGTCTTATGAAAAAATTGTGTTTGTAGCATGATTTGTCGGTTCGAAAAAGTGAATCGATGTGATGGTTTTGGAACAGCTTGAACACAAATTAGAGTATCTTCTTTTGATCGCATATTCCAAAAAACTTCAGAAAAAACCCCCGGTTTAAATTTTTTTTTGTTCTGGTCTTTCGGCTTCTTCCAATGTCATGGGTACAAATCGCCAATATTGTGGATTAGCATGGAGAAAAATTTGCATCGCTACTGGACATTGTGTTGAATGTTGATAGAGTTTCATGCGATCTTTTGCTAAAACTCTACAATGATAGACAACATAGTCATTGTATGAAATAGAAACTAGAAAGTTCATCTTTCATACTCTTTAGATTTGCCTCGTGGTAAATCACGTAGAATATTTTCTTGTCCTATTAAAAATTCATGTATGATTCGATTGCCATGTTCACGATGTTCTACAGGAAAACAAATATGTAATTCAGAAATATCTAAGAATGATACTTACTTATTAAACGATCATGTAAACTATTGGCTGTTGCGCCAATATATTCAAATTTGCCACATGGACATACAAGTGCATACCCAAGTGAGCTCAAGACGGGCTAAATGACTCGTCTTTTTTCTAGTCATGTCGACCCGTCATGCCCAGTCTTTGTCTCAAATTCGACTATGACATGCCTAGTCCGGGATTTTTGGGCGTCATGAAACCCCGTCTAAATCACATGATTGACGGGCGACATTATACGTACCTAGTCTAGTCTTTTTTTGAGAAAGACTCGTCTAGGACTGGGTCGAAGTCGCTTGATACAGGACATTATTGTCTAGTATGCAGACTAGTCCCAGACGAGGACTTTTTGAGACAAAGACTAGACAGGACGGGT